GTAATCTACTGTCATTCGAAACCTTCCTGACGAGCCGGCCTTTTTGACGGGAACAATTGCCGATGCTCATCGACTCGAGTTGTTTTTGTGGATCAACCCCCTCGCTTCCGACTCTGGGGTGTAGTCCCTGATAAATTGCTGCTGCAATGGCGGGTAACCGGGCGCCTTGCAGCGGTATAAGACGATGTCGTCTTTCTGCTGCACTTGAAGCGGTTGCACACATGCTGGTTCATAGTGCTCCAACTCTAAACGAATAACATCCTCGTATTTGGTCACAAGTTCTACCAATTCATTCTCATGCTCCGCTGGGAATCGATTTTCCACTGCTTCTAATATCATAGGCGTCAGTCTCTCCGCGTGGCTACTAAATCCACGATCAGGGATCCCGAGTATGGCATTTTTATTTATCTGTGCGCTGCACTTTTAAAAAATTATGAAATCTTCTTCTTATCCACACAACATACATTACGCCATTTTCATCAGCGAGTGAATAAGTAATGTCATAGTAAAGAGAATTGATCCGCTGTGGATTAATAATTGGCTTTTTCAATTGCTTCATCTACCGTGCGCGCAGACCAATACTCGTTGTTCTGTCTCAAAAATAGGACCATCTCCAGAGTGATAGGATTAAGACGATGTCGTTCCTGCCCTAACGTGGGTTCCAAGGCAAACCATCCCTTACATCGTTGACCCGCGCAGTGGCGACACAGCGGTACGCCGTCCGTACTTTGACGCCGGTTTCTGCTGCTATGTCTTGCCAGTTATGGTGGTCACGGGCCGCATGAAGTACGCGCTGAAAGGTGTTTTTACTGTAGATCATAGTTGGAAGATGTGGAGAAATAGTGCTGGGAGTAGGGGTATAGTGAATTGCAGAATGAGAGAAATGTTCCACACATCTGCGATAGACGAAAACCTCTCTTCGATTGGTTTCGGTGTGAAACATTCGCGCCACTTAAGCACCATACATCTAAATATCTTGTTCACATAGATCTTGCTGCGGTTACGCTTTTTATCCGGCTTGCTTACTTTTAGTCACGTTGAGCTTGACATTTGCCATTTTGAAGTTGAAAAGGTGTATAGGCTTATATTTTCAGGAATGGTAGAGCGAAAGCAGGACAGAAGAAACCTCCACCACTAGCTAAACAGATCAAGCATCGTAAGCCAGCCTTGACTAAAACACAATAAAAATTTCGACGGTTATCAAATAATATTCAATAGACTTCATTCAAGCTCGTGGGATTTATTCATCCAAGTAAATATGTTTTTGAGAATCTTTGTATGTTAGTCGCCGTAGGACGAAACTTACCTCAAGACGTTGGCAAAATTTGAATATCTTGAATTTAGTTTCAAGATTTGCGTAAGCGCGTACAGTAAGTAGGCTACTTAATCTCCGCTATAAACGCTAGGTCGTACGTATGCTGGTGTGCAAAACTACACAAGGGTTTAAACTCCTAGACGTGGCCAACTTAGGCTGGCGTGTAGCAGTAATATCATTGCTACCGATGCAAAACGTACACTTTTGCCAGCCTGTAGATGTACCTTACATTGGTCCGGTAATTAGGCTGACCTTGGACATCTACAGAACGTGTTGGGCCTTTTCCAAGTATTGGAACACCTTCCGGTTCATATGCTAAAGGTAATATATATTATGTGTAAGAACCTCCTGGGGAGATTCATATGCTTTCAGCAATGGTTTGCACGAAACGGCATGACTCTACGTAGATTAACGATGAACTAACAATAAAGGGGGAATGCACGACACATTACGACACATTATTTACCCAAAGACCTATGGATGCTAAACTGATGGGCGTTTGGTGAATTAGAACAATGAAAAGTTTTAGAACGGTAATACTTGAAAAAGCTTTCAGAAGCGAGCAGGATGAAAATAATCTAAGTCAGTGTCATGAAGCAGTTTCCCAGTTTTCAGGATAGCCTGACGTTGGAGTGCAACAATGGAAATCCAGATATCTTGATTGGTGGAAGTGGAGCAGACGGTGTGATAATTGTGGAAAGAAAGTTGGATGTGGGTGGTGAGTGTATGGAGGGCTAAGGATAGCCCCTTAGGCTCCGGAATCACGTGTTTCAGTGATGTACACTCTGAAACGCACATGTGCTCGGTCCGGAACCGTCCCCATCCTGAACCGTCCCCGCCCTGAACCGTCCCCGTCCTGAACACAGGGTGCCAAGAAAAAGCTAAAATTGTCTGCGTGAATGTATCGCTTCAGACAACCCGTATTGTTTTTGGTTCAAGACACCAAATATCACTATCTCAGACCCCGAAATTACTAGAAACGATCGCAACAACTTAATGTACCGCAAGGCGCCCCCAAGAAAGTCAAGAACTATATTGTGTGGATTATCCCGTGTCCAAGAATACTGTATGGACATGTTACGACTACGATGGAATGCAAATGGAGCTAGAAACCAACGATCCTGATCTTCAATAGTCTGAAATGAGACTCATTTCAGCGAATTCGGGCCTTGTTCCAGACATCTCGAGCCTGATTTCAGAGATTACCGATTGCTAAGAACATCACCAAGCTATCGAGACACTAGAACAGCAAACTTAGATGTCCTACGACTGTGAGCGGTATGTGAGACCAAGAATCCTGTGGAAAGAGGACCAGTTTCAGATCAAAAGAGACAACCCAAAGGCGTGGAGGCCCAAGGTTGACGACAGCGAAGTACACCCACGCTATACAAAAACCAAGTGAATTCCCCCAAAGGTATACAGAACACAAGATATTACCAGAATGATTTAGAAAGAAGACAGCCGAAGTATAAGAGTGATAAAAAGAGTTAGTTTTACCAAGTTGAGGGCAAGTCGAATTCGTTCGGGAACCCGCCAGGGAGGGCGCGTGCTGAAGGATGCCGCGTACTTCTTCCGAAGCATCAAGTCCAAATTGCCTGTGGGATCGGGCGCGACGGCGTTACAGAGTTGATCCACGGCATTTCATTTCCCAGCTGGGCCAACTGAGTGAAGGTAAGAGTGCGATTCCCATGTCATGTTAACGATTCTGCTTGAAGGGTTTAGTAGCCCCCTGCAAGTTTATAAGTATACTGCATTTCATAAATAGGATAGTATGGTATCCCTCCTAGAGGGTGGTGCGTGTGAAGAAAGGAGTGCGCTTCAGACTGACCAGTATCTAAAGCGTATACTCCGACTGGTGATAGACCCACCGTTCAAGGGTCTCAAAGAATAAGTAACGCCTGCATATTTGTATATTTTACTCTGTATTTTGGCTATTCTACAAGGTAGTGTGTTCTGGGGCTTTGTTCCTAGTCTAACAAGGGTGTGTTTCAGACATTAAACGACCAACCCGATACGCCCAGTGCCTACATTAGCCACCAACCCGGGAGGTTGTCAGGCTGCCACCAAGATCGAACCCAAAGGGGTTCACAAGGACCACACGCTGACCCTGGAGCGTTCGTGTTCTAGAGTTTTTGACCCCCGTACCAGAGAGTTTACCGATTCTCTGAACTCCCTGGGCTACGGCACTATACACTTGCAGCGAAAAAGGTTCACCGATCCCGCCACATCAGATGGTAGGAGTAGCGCTAGTTTATGCTCCTCTCAACAAGCCGGTCATACCGTTTCCCGACGTAGAGTGCTGCGCCGTGAAACGACGCAGCCGATTCGTTTGTCTATTATTTAAAATCGAAGTTTTTGTTCATGTTGTCAGGCTGAGAACTTACGTGGTCAAGGCGCTGTTAGTATAGTAGATAGTCGGGAACTGCGAGGTGTCGAATCTGGCGTACCAGCTGGCGGATCGCGGTGATGAGGCCCTTTCGATGATGGGGGTATGTTGAAAGGCTAGATACTCAGCAATTTGTCCGGCGGCCTGGCCAAAATTTGACTCAGGTTCCCAAGAATCAGCTTCGGCACAGCCGTACCAATGACACTTAAAATACCGGGCACCCTGTTGTGTACGGGGGCCAATAATTTCTCGAATTTTTTTACCCTCTTTTCCGTCGCTGGTCAGCAGGCGCGGAATGCTATTGAAACAGTTAAAATTAGTATCTTCGACGTAGCGACGTAAGTATGACACGTGAAATTCGTCATGCAATCGAATATCCGGTGGTAGGGAAATCTTGTGCAAGTCTGGCGTAGTGGAAGCAAGCACGTTGTCAGGTCTGATAAACCGAGCCGCAAAATTGCGGCAGCCGTTAGCTCCAATATGACTGAGGTCAAGATGAGTTGTGTCGATTAGCACTTGATCGCCAGTGCTTGGCGGAAGTTCGGGTCGTAGAAGTGCTTCTTTCGACATTAGGCAACCGCTAGGGAGTCACGAAAACGCCACCAAATGCTCGTGAAACCGAAGAACATCGCTGTGTCGATGCGAGCGTGATGGAATGGCCAGGTCGTCGTAGCCTCGTGGCACATACCCCCAAATCCGCTGCAAATGGGTGCATACCTTATGTTATCATGAGGCTGTACATTGTATGCAAATTCTGTCATACGTAGAAAGTCATCCCAGTTATCCTACAGGGGCGAAACAAATACGCTTAGATAGTCATAGATAAAACGATGTGATTGCTCGTTCTGTCCATCAGTCGACGACTTAAACGCTGTACTGACACGCAATTTGGAACTTTGACTCGCCGATAGTATGTTCGAGAAAGCCGATAAAAATTGGGAGTCGCGGTCACTAACAATCGAATCTGGAAATCCATGCAACGGATCAGATCACGAAGAAATATCCAAGCCGTATCCTTCATAGATGCTGTTTTTAAAGTAGGAATGAAGTGAGCTCGCTTCGTGAGGCGATCAAGAATCATCAAAATGGCGTCAAAATTGCCACACTTCGTCAAGACCAGGTCGGACATGAAGTCCATCGAAATGTGCGCTTGTGAAGAATCTCAAGCGGATGGAGCAATTCAGTCGGTTTGTACTGAGAAGCCCTAATTCGTTGACACAATTCACAGGACCTCACGTGTTTCGCATTCGCCTTGTGCATGTTTAACCAATAAAATTTCTGCGGGGCAAAAGCAAGTGTTTACCGTCCCATGGTGACCTCGTGCAGCGACACGGCAACTGAAGAGAACGGCATTGCGAAGATCAACGTTGGAAAGAACACAAAGGCGATGGCTTTCGTCCATCCCAGACTGTAGATAAATTAGCCCATCGTCGGGAAAGAAACTGGGAAGCAAAATCCGCAATGTTGAGTTTAAATCGACTGATGTTATTTTTTGCTCGTCTCCAATTGTTACATGACGTAGTAGTGGGCCAAACGTTCCGCCTTCATGATACAACCGTTTGTATTGCTGCTGAATTGAAGATCGTAGATGCATGTAATTCCGAAAAGCTTGATCTGGTGTCGTCGTGCAGCGCGGCCAATAGTTCTTTCTCACGCATAGGGTACACTCTCTCAGACGTGCTGAATTTTGCGACTTCCGTAGACAATAATCCGTCGTGACCTTTGCTGTTTAGCTGGAATAAGTAACCTCCGACAGCATAGTCGGAGGCATCGGTCTTCACTTTAAAAGGAAGAGGTGAGTCTGGATGCGCCAACACGGGAGGATATGTCAATCGGTGTTTGATCGCACGAAATGCTTCAACCTGTTCCATGTAAGGTCAACTTGCTCATTTTGGGCGGAAGCATCTTGGAGCGTCCTTGCGTGCTGGAATAAGTAACCTCCGACAGCATAGTCGGAGGCATCGGTCTTCACGTTAAAAGGAAGAGGTGAGTCTGGGTGCGCCAACACGGGAGGATATGTCAATCGATGTTTGATCGCACGAAATACTTCAACCTGTTCCATGTAAGGTCAACATGCTCATTTTGGGCTTTCCTCGTGTTGCATCGGTGAGGTGTGCGGCAAGTGACGCGAATTCAGGGCAATACCTAAAGACGTATACACAAATCTCTATGAAAGATGGAAGCCCTCTCTTCGTCCGTGGTATGACCACTCTCTGATCAACCGAATTTTATCTGGATCAATTCGAATGCCCTGGAGGCCAATGTAGCCTCCTAAGCACAGAATCTCAGCGGCATAATATATACAATTAGAGAGTTTGAGAACGCATTTTCCACCTCACATCGAGCGAATACCTTGTCCAGTACAATGGATGGTCATCCACTGAGTCGGCTTTTGTAAAAACGAACAGATCGTCAAAGTAGGCGCTATAAAATTGCTTCTGATCACTTAAAATTGTTTGGATCAACCTGAAAAATGTCGACGTGATGTACGAAAGACCCATTGATGTTGCTAAGTACTCAAACAGCCCATCTGGTGTCGGGAACGCAGTGTAAGGTATATCCACTTCTCTATAGGGAACTTGAAAGAAGCCCCAGAGTAAGTCTAGCGCTGAGAGCTGTTTTCTCTTGGCCATTGGATCATAGTTCCATCCGTGGGATTGGGGTCGTAGGAAATCCCACCACGCGTTAATAGCTCGAAAATCATGTCATGCACAACGCGCCAGCCTACAGCTTTCTTTACGCAGAAGGTGGACGATGAGAACGGTGATTTCGACGGACAGATAATATTGGCGTCCAACATTTCTCGAGTTCGCTTGCGAACAGCTTCGGTTTGGTTCTCACTGCTTCCGAGCGACTATGGCTTGTCCGCTAGCTTGATCTCGGCTTCAATGTTGATGCTGCACTGTGGTGGCATGCTGGATAGTTCCGTAACGAACACCTTGTCCTTGTACTTGAGGATGATTGGATCAACAAGACGACCTCACAATGCGTTCCAATCCGTCGCTAGCTGACGCTCAGCTTTTTTAGAAGCCGATCGGACGAAAAACACAAAACTCCCCGTCGGTCAGCCTCAACCTTGAAAGTTTTTCTGCTGCAATAACATTTGTCTCTCCTGATGATGGTGTCAGACTATGCATCGTGTAAATGTGAGGGGCTGTTATAGGCACCGCCGCACAGTACGCAATCCAGCGACAGTAGTAGCCGGTCCTTCATGGACACATTGACGAAATGACGTGACACCTTACGTGCCAGGGTACTTAATGATCTGTTTGGTTCAGTCAATTTCTGGATTGATATCTTCAAGCCATGGCATGCCGAGTAGCAAATTGCTCTGGTCTAAGACTGCCATGACGAAGGCTTCTGTCGTGTAGACAGGAAAACCAGTCGGCTAGATGTCCACCTTGACTACTCGACTGGGCACAAGGATTTTGTTGTTCATACCGGGTGTAAGTTCTGAGCATTCCGCGACCTCCAGGTCGAGACGCCCGACTACACGCATATCGATGGTATTAATGGAAGCACCCCTATCAACGAAAGTCGTAACGGAAGCATCTTGGAGCGTCCTTGCGTAGGAAAAATACCAATACACGCTGTTCTATTGACGACGTTCTAGGTCTGGTAATGGAACGCGTGCTGCTCAGGACGTCTTCGGCCGTGGAACGTGTACTACAAACATGATCTGTGTGTTTCGGCTCTTTAGTGACTCCCCAACGAGCCTAGCCGTTTTTTTGTTGATATGACTTTCGCGTAGATATAGCTTGAGTGTCATGATTTCGGTCACCGCAAATATCGATCGTGTGGCCAATTTTGGCATACTACACACAGGTTGGTTTCCACCACCTGCTTTATGTGTTCCAGTCGCCTTGTCTCCAGGTGCATGTAGCAGCTTTGGTTCCTTCTTAGCGTCGTTCTACCGCCCTGATTGAACCAGGGGCGAAACTTCAAAACGCCGGCCGAATTCGATTGTAACTTGCAATGTATCGAGTACGTTCTACGATAAAAAGCTACTGGTTTCCGAGCTTAGGTTACGCTGGTACATCCCGCCCTTGACAGGTTCTGAGACCTCCTCGTCGAGCCGCGGCAGGAGGTGCAGCAACTTCGTAGTATACTCCTGTTGAGGCCCCTTCCCCCGCAAGTCGTGTAACTTCGTCAAAAGCTTTTGTTGGAAATTGCGTTCTCGGTTTTTTTCTCAAATCATGAATTTGAAGAGGCATCAAGTAGCTAGTTGCTCATGTCTCAAGGATAGCATAAAATCGTGGAACCAAGTTTTGGCAATAGTACCGAGGTTTGCACAGAAGTGTTGCGGGTAGGTGTTGAGCATAATATCATACTAATCTACTAAAATTCCAAAGCTCTAAATACTCCGATGCTCTGAAGGTGATCGGGGTTGATGTTGGCTTTGAACCTGTAGTTCTGGTTGACATAGCATCGATCCTATTAATGCTCCCGGATGCTGTTGAGAGGTGTAGGTGCTTGCATTACAAACTCTTGGTGCACTTTGCACAAAGATTTCCCGAATGTAAAAATCGGGATATACAAAACTCAAGGGATATCGCACATCATGCAGAATGTGTTCGAAATCATCGTGCAATTTGCGCGATGCAATTTGCACGAAGTATTCTATTGGTAGTATCCAGTCAAATACGAATTAGAAACGATGTTGTGAGCAGGATTCCGAATAAAACTTCATCATGTTAGGCTGCTATTCGTTCTATAAGTCCACGCGGAACCTGCAAGAACGGACCTAAGCTAAACATTCTTCCTTCGTTCGCTCCCGTTGGAAATGACACTGATATACGGTGTTTAACTATCCCATACAGGAGACAAGGTGCATCAGTGGATCCGTGAGATTGAACGATCTCTTCACCCGTACAAGAAACTCAATGAAGTGCATTAAACACTGTGGTGCAGCGTGTCAGTCGTTTGCATTCTGATCGCCATATCAAGTTTAGGCAGCGCTCAGAGTGATAGTTACCTACACATCAATACCACCATAGTATTTCATTAGTTTCCAAAAGCAAAAAGGCCCTCGGGGTCTCAATAAAAGCTACCATACCACGTAACAGACCCGAGTGCATCACGAAGGATGAAACAACAAGTGCCAAGCATCTTTCGTTTTACCTGATTGACATTGATTGAGCAAGGAGCTGAACGTTGAGAAACTGCAAAATCTTCTTTTTGGACGACGCTCATTGCTGTTTTGGTCAACCTTGTACCACACAATGGTGTAACCCTTAAAGGCACCTCACTTGTAAGTAAACGTGATGAGGTCGAGAGGCCTTTTTCTGTGTGAGTACATAGCTGCTGAGCGCACGTTGCCTAATATTAATTTTCGTATTACACTTTTATCCTCTATTCACGTACGATATCGAATACAGTCGTTCAAAAACAATATATGGAGACCCACGTGGCTACGCAACGGCATGGCAGTCAACCATTTTGTAATTCTTTCAGCAAGGTTATATTTTAGTAAAAACTCGCCAACTAACACAACTTCCCACTAGTTAATCGGTATGATTATACAGTCTCTTAAACAAACGCGATACATTCGCTCAAACAAACGCGATACATTCGCTCAAACAAACACGATACCTTCACGCAAACAAACGTGATAGTGTCCGCAGGTAAACGTAATTCGTGGTAGTAGCAGTTGCACTCCCCAGTATTTCGTCAACACGCTGACTCCTACGGAGAAGTCGGCTCGGGTGACTTCCGGACATTGTGCGAGGAAAACGGTATTTGCTGTTAGACCATGAACGCGTATTCTTCCTTTGAGAATGGCATGGCCGAACACGCCAGAAGGACCTTCCCTGACACGGCCGCCACCATGCTGATCGAGGTCATGCTGTTCCATACACCCGGTGGATCCGTTGTCCTTCAAGCCACGTATGCGCAAAACCACATATGAACTCCAAGTCGCGGTGCTTCACGCCGTATGAGCACGAACATGATGAACGCCCAAACATACAAGACATGCAAATATTTGGAGAAATGATTGTGAGTTACATCCCGAAACAGGAATGCAAGGAAGCCTAGCGGTTTCTGTCGAGAGAGGAATTCGGAGCTTTCGGCGGATATGGCAACGGGACGGCAGGAATTCTCTATTATGTAAAGTCACCCAGCGCAACCCACGGGGTTACAAATTAATGGACAAAATAGCGTCCGAGTTTGAACGCCAGGAACTTCTCAGTGAGAGCGATCTTGAAACCGAGGACGATGATGCAGACTCTCCTCAGACGACGACAAATTAAAAGACGCCCCCGGTAACGATGACTTAGAAGGACGTCAGACTACAGCGATCAACCTCACCGATAGTGTAGATCCCACGGTCGTGAACGAAATCAATGTAGCCCGCGAGCTTACGCGACATCGTCGACCTGAGCGAATATCGGTGTGACAACTCTCTGCAGCTTTCATGGCGATGGCCGAAGTATGGCACGAACCACTAAATATGGCCGAAGCTCGCCGCTTCAAGTACTGGACAAGTGGTAAGGAGCAATCAGCCGAGGGCTCAAGGTCCTCGAAGGAACCAAACGTGAGAACTAGTTGAACTACGTGCAGCAAAGCGAGCTATCCAAAATTCTGCGGGTTTCGACTAAAACAGAGCTCATATCATGTACAAGACCAGGTTTGTGCCCGAGAAGACGGCCAACCTGACCACTACGGTTGTTTTACGCTTACGCGCCAGTTGCAAGTCTCCCAACTATGAAAACTTCCTTGTGCTCGTGGTTAAATGGAAACTTCAGAAGCTTCAAGCCGATGTGCATTCTGCATATGTGAAAGCAGGGCTACAAGAAAAAATATACATGAAGCAAGTGAAAAGATTCGAAGTGCCGGGAAAAGAACGCTACGTATACCATCTCCACAAAGCACTTTACGGGCTCCGAAAAGGAGCAGAGTAGCATCGGAAAATAGATGCTCCCTTTAAATAACTAGGGTTGCGTCCCACTCAATCCGACAGCTGTCTCTACTGCCTTTCCCTCGAAGAGATTCCTCGTTCCTGTACGTCAACGACCTTCTATTTGCATATGAAAACGAGAGTAAAGTCAAACGCTGCTTTCA